GGGGGGGGGGGTGTTTTACATCCAAGAATTCTTTCTCTAAAATTGTGAATGCTGAAAAAAAATTAAAATGTAAGTATTGGGAAATTTGTCTTAAGGTTAAGAAATATATAAGAAGAAATTATGGAGGCCAATTGTGAAATCTAATGTCTCCAGAAAACGATAGTCCTTCAGTAGGAAGAATAATGTGTGTATATGAACAAGCAACCTGGGAGATAATGTCCACCCCACCCCCTTACTCAGTTTGAGAACCTTGGGTACCATTCTAACCAGTGGCCAAAAGAAAGATGCAAAGACTTCTCAAGTCTTCACAGTGAGACTGGAGGGGGGAGGAGCCGGAAGGGGGGCAGTGTAAATACTCTCAAGTCATTCTCGGCTTCTGTCCAGTAGGTGGAAGCACCACCCAGGCCTTAATCCTGCTTCTGTTGTCTGCTCCCAGGGTTGCAACACTGGAAGTATACCAAGAGTATTCTTTGTTTCTCAAAGCCAGAAGGAATTTATTATTATTATTTTGGCTAAAAACTTAAACATACTCCCTGGCAAATCTTAGTTCCCAGAGCCATTGAATTTTACAGCCAGGAAAGGCTCTGGAGATCATATTATTCAACCCACTCAGACATAAGGTAGCCGACAGATGTCAGGGACTCTCTCAAGGTCATCCAACAAATCAGTGGATAGGCCCTTTGAATCCCTGTCTAGTGCTCTTCACTCTGCATGACTAGGGGGTAATTTAGAGTAACAATGGTGAGGTGATACCATTGAATGACTGAAACAATACCATTAAGCCAGTAAGTATTTAAGAAACAAGGGATCAGAAGGAAAACAGGAAGGTTTCTGGAAGTCTATGACCTTAAGTTCTCTATGTGGGGATAAGAGTGGGTGAAAGACTTATCAAGGAAAATGTAAAAGCATACATGAGCACATGGTACAACCTGCCTTAATACAGGGATAAAAGAACAATTGTGAAAAGGCCTTGAAAAAACTTTTTAAACACACAAGAAAGTTCACGTAGCTGTTACTGTGATCACAGACAAGCTACTTTCTGGGCCTCAGGCTTCACATCTATTAAAATGGGGCTGATAAAAATCTAAGTGGTATGCTGTGTGGCATACAGCAGAAGCTCAGTAAATGATGGCTATCATTGCCATGGAAAGCTGATGGTGAGGTACCTACCTCTCAGGGTTCTTGATCTCCTCAGTGACATAGTTGAGGGTATCCCAGCCCGAGTAGGAGAACAGAGCTGAGTACAGTGCTAGGGCAATGTCACCCATTGCAAATGATGAACCCTCAAAGGAATTCTCAAAGTGATTCGAGGCCCCTGGAACCCATAAAACATGGAAAAGAAGAAGGGTTAGTAACCTCCCCAACCTCAAGGTGATCCAGTAAAGGAGTGGAAGAGTATAACTAAGCAGCAAGGCTATCAGTGAAGGAACAAAGAATAGAAAAGGCACATTTACAGTGATGGGTCAAATGCAGGGTACAGCATGGGGATCTTGTCAGGAAGGCCCAGGGTGGATTCCTAGGAGAAGGGCTGGAGAACAGGAGTGATGCCGTTCTGTCCTGCCCTGCAAGCTGCCCAATTCTGCCTCCTTTCTAACACCTGACTGAGCTGATACGGGGATAAAGGAAGGGCAGGACTCTATGCCCAGGTCAACAGAGTAGTTGTAGGGTAGGTGTTCAGACCTGGAAATAAGAGGAGTGGGTATAAGGGGTTCATTTCTACCTTTGCTTATTCCCAAGGGGAGAACAATCATAGCCACAGCATTAGGCTTGACAGTCTGCAAAAGCCATTGAACTCTTGGCTGTCAGCCCTATTGCCGAGATCATCCTCTGCTGGGCAGCAGCGTGCATAGAAGTTGAAGGACAGGCTTTGGGGTCCATGCCTGGGTACATATTTCAGCTCTACTGCTTAATAGCTAGGGTCTTGGGCAAAATACTTAATTCTGAAGCCTCAGCTTTCTTATCTATAAAATGGGAATAATAGGACCTGCCAAATGAGATAACACACAAAGGGCCCTTGGAAGAGTGTGACTCAGGAAATGCTTAACAAATGTTAGTAGTTGTTATTTCTTACCCTGGCCAAGTTTAACAATGCCTGCGATGATGACACCGATCAGAGCCAATACTTTAGCATAGGTGGAAAAATCCTGTACCCTTGTTCCCCACTTGACATAGGCACAGTTAACGAAGGTTAAGAGACCTGAAAGAAAAAGAATACTGATTGGTGACCGACTTCACCATCCAGAGGGCCTTAGACTGTGATGCAATTTTTCCAGTACCAGTTACCAAAATAGACCTTTGGCCAAAAACAAATTTTGGGCTCAGACCTGCACTACATTAGAAACCTGCCCAGAATGGCCTCACCATTATCATGCAAATGAACTTGCTGAGCACCTGTGTACATAGCACCTCATGTACACACATCCTCAGCAGGATGACACAAACAGGAGACACAAAACAAAGTACGGATTTGCTTACATACAAAAGTGCTCACAGCAGTGGGAGGCAACTGGTAGCTGTAGAGAATTAGGATGTGTTCCGGCTGTTGTCTCTGAAAACATGGTTTCTGCCCCCTCTTCACCCTCCTACCCCCTGATATGGGCTCCAGGACCCAGCACTCTGATGCTGTGGTATTACTATTAACCTTGACGAGTCCTTTATGACCTATCCAATGTCTGGGCCGGCAGTTCAGGACTCTTGGCCAACGATTAAGATGCCTGCCAGCTCAGCTGCTTGTTTTTGTGCTTGGAAAGATTCTTGGAACCAAGACTCCTACAGAACGGGGACAGGGCGTTTCTCCTGACTGGACAATGAAAAAATAAGAGACATAAATATTCCTCAAGTCCCTCCCCTGAGGTAGAGGCACTCCCTTTACCTGGAAGAGCAGTAAAGTCCACTCATAGATTGCCCTCAGAGCCAGAGTTCTTAACCTAGGGCTACCACAAGGCCTGAAATGCTTTGTAAAGTGTTATGTAGATATGTCCAAAGTATATGCATTTTTCTAAGAAAAGGGTTCATAGCTTTTGTCAGAACCTAAGAGAAATCCATTACCCTCCACAAAAAGTTACAATCCACTTCAGAAGAAGAAATTCAAGAAGGGAAGCCCACATATGCTGTGAGGTTGACCAGTAGCCCCAGGATGTGGCAAAGAAGAGTGTCAAAAGAAACAATTCTGAAATTCAGCTGCATGTTCCTCAGTCCCCCACCAACCTCTTACACAGGCAGGCAGGCACCTACACCATACCTTCCCCACTGCGACAGAGTGAATCGTTTCACTGCTCCCTCCTTCCCAGCTCAGCAACTGGAGCACAAAAAGGATGACTTACAGTCCTCCCAAGGCCTCAAAGGGCAAGGTCAGAGTCAGACTGCCTTATCGGTGGAGAAAGTGAGGCCCAGTGCTGGGCTTGCCTGCTTCAGGTCACCAGTACGATCAGGAAGTACTCCGTCTCAGTTCTGGCAGCGGTGTGTCCTTCAGTGTCCCTAGTTCTCCCATTTTGTTGTGTCCTGGCCTCATCACACTCTGACCAGAGGCCACTTCACCCTGAGAAGCAGGAAAGACCAGCCTCTCAGAATAGCAGTCCTTTCTTCTGTCTCTCTCTCCCTTCCCTTATAACCTTCCTATTCTACTCACTGCCCAAATTCCTTTCTGCTCTTCCCAGAGAAGGGACATTCCTGTCCATGCAAGTACTTGCTTTTCTGCCTGATAAAACAATCACATCTCATCACAGGGCTGGGTAAAAATATACCCATAATTTCAGGCCTCCTCAGTGCTGTTAATAATTAAAGGCATAGTCTCCACAAGAACCCTACAAAATGGCTGAGGTGCCCATACCTCACCCTCCACAATCTTCCAGACCTGTTGATCCTCCTCAGCCAGCCTCCCATCCCTGCTCCCCACTGGACTTCTGCCTCCAGCCGGTCAACAGCCCTCAAGCCCCTTCTCTTCCTCCTGCAACCCCTGCCCCTAACCCTGGGGCTCTGCTTCTGTCTTACAAATAGAACCCCAAACACCAGGGACTACGGATGCTGCCATAAAATTCATGGTTAGCCCTCAGGGTAACCGTAAATCCACGGGTCACAGTAGCAAACTGGGATAGGCTACGGCACGAGTTCTGCTTCAGTCAGTCTGCAGCCCTGTGCCACAGGTCCTGTTTTCAGCTGTCCCTTATTACAACAAATTCTGAAATGAAATACATGGATTGTTTACATTTTGGGACCACTGCTTCTCTACTCCCATATCCACCCATTTGTATCCCTCCTTTTATCGGCCAGTCCCCAGCCCCCCACACTCAACCTTCTTTCTCAGCCACTGTCCCACCATCTTGCCAAGATCTGCTCTCTGCATTGAGCACAGGGGGCTTAGTTTTAATGGAGAAGAGAATCCTGTGGAAAGAAACCAGGAGGCAGAGGCACTGCCTGAAGAGAGCTGGCCCTCACCCTCTCCCAAACCCAGCTTCCTCCAGGGCCTCTTGGCCATGAAGCAGGAAATGGGTATGGCAAGCAGCAGTGCTGACTGGGCTCTCTGTCCCCACCCCCAACAGATACAGCTGACCAGAGGCCCCAGAACCCAGCCAAGTGCACTGTTCTTGAAGTGCAGCCCAACCTCCTGCTTCAGAGGCAGGGAAAGGGGAAGACCATGGAGTTAGAATATAGAGGCAGCTGCAAGTTAACCTCAAGGACAGCGATGCCCTGCCCTCCTATCTCTAGGTGCAATTCAGTCTCCACCCAACACTGGCCCAAGTCCACAGGAAGATGGCCTGAATTCACTTTGGACCCTTGACTCAGGTGCAGCTCCGTCCCTGCTTTGACACCTGCTTTGGAAAAAGGAAAAGCTGTGAAGAAGTCACTCCAATAAGAATCTAAAAAAATGCTCCTAAATGAATCATCAAACCCAGCCTCTATGGGCTCCTGGAGTAGGAGGCTAGTTCTGGCACTAAGGCTCAGCATCCACTCTGGAACTAAAAGCCAGGAAAGCACCACCTAGATAGATCCAGAACAGAAAGAAGCTTGCACACCCACTCAGGATCAGGTGCCCAGATTTAGTGTAGATGCCCAAACTAAGAAGTCCCTGAAAAAGAATGGTAAGCCTACAATTCTCCCAGCACCATTAGTTTTAAATTCATACAATGTAACACACAAAACTTAGGCCGCTATTGAATCCATTTTCTGTTTCAAATGCCCAGAGACTATAAAACGGGAATACTTTACTAGGCAAATCATTCCATTTTTTAAAAGAGATCAATAGCTCTTCTTTCCACTAAGCCAAAAATGTCTTCCTCACAACTTCTACCCAGTAGTTTTAGGCCTCTCCTCTGGAGCTACACAGAATCAAGCTAAAGCCTCTTCCACATAAGGGTCTTTCTTATCATTAAATATTTACATCCTGTTCCCCTTGGGTCTTCCCTCTTTCAGGCTAAAAATCCAGTTTCTTCAACTTGCAGGGGGCAGGGGGCAGAGGTTCGAGGGCTGCTTTCTTTTTTTTTCTTTTTTTCGTATTTTTATTGATTTCAGATAGAGGAAGGAGAGGGAGAAAGAGATAGAAATATCAGTGATGCGAGAGTCATTGATGGGCTGCCTCCCGCACAGTCCCCCGCCAGGGATCAAGCCTGCAACCCGGGCACATGCCCTGACCGGGAATCAAACAGTGATCTCCTGAATCATAGGTCAACGCCCAAACACTGAGCCACCCCAGCAGGGCGAGGGCTGCTTTCTTGATGTAGGAGCTGGTTACACATGTGTTCAATTTGTGAAAATTCATCAAGCTGTACACTTATAATGTGCACTGTTTCTTGGTGTATATTGCACTTCAATAAATTAAAATTGAACAAAAAAATACGGTTAGCTTAGCATGGCTTGTTTTTAGTGAATCTATACAGATTACTAGAGAGTCTCCTTTCTTCTCATACTTTGCTAACCAGGTGATCCTAGAATTTGGGCAGGAATCAACTTCAAATTGTCAGTGCGGAATGCTCAGAGTCTGCCTCTTTCTTGTGGTAGGCAGAACAATGGCCCTGGGAGGCAGAAGAATCAGCGTCGGAGTGATGGGATATTAAGAAAGACTTGACTAGCTACTGCTGGCTTTGAAGATGAAAGGGGTCCATGAGCTAAGGAATGAGGACAGCCTCTAAAAGCTACAAAAGGCGAGAAAATGCATTCTCCCCTAGGCACTGCTGATACCTTGGTTTTGGCCCAGTGAGACCCAGTGAAGACTTCTGACCTATAGGACAGTTAAAATAATAAATTTGTGTTGTTTTAAGTCAATAATTGGTATTTGTTAAAGCAGCAATAGGAAACTAATACATCACTTGACAGCTTCATTTCACACCCTTCCTGTTCTCCCAGATCCTGGAGATGCCTGGTGGTAATTGTGTCGTTTCAACTAATTATAAATTCTTTCCATTTGTCTGCAAGTGCATAGTTAAAGACATTTAAAGCAATGACATGCTTTATTACTATCTCCTTAACTTTCTTGGTCTTGCATTTTTGTTGGCCTAGATCTGTTGGCCTGTTGGTTTTTTTATTGAACCCTTTCTAGGTTAGCAACCGTCTGCTAGGAGAAGTTAGAAGAAAAATAGGCTTGCTTCTTTCTAGCCACCATCTACTTTCATAGAACTAACTGCCATGCCCTTGCTATTCTCACTCTCAGCATGCCTCTAGAGCCTTTTATTGTCCTCAGTCTCTTCTTCAGACCTTAGTTTATGCTGGGCATTAACCTTCAGGACACCCTTCTTGCAGTTCTGGGCCACCCCTATACTTAGTCTTAGGTATGTCACCTCTCACTATTTCTTGTGTATCTTGTTTCTAAAAATCTAAGCTCACCAAAAAGCAATGTGTTCAATCACATTGGTTTCTTCAGGTGACTTTCCTTTTCTTCCTAAATAAGATAATTTTCAACTATTTTATCAGAATTTCACTTTAAAGAAGATCCTGGGCTTTTTTTTTTTTTTTAACCCTAGCTATGAAATTATAATTCTTTGCCCTGAACTTTTCTGCAATCTCTGCCTAAAATTTAGAGTATATTTTAGAGGAAGCCTAGCATTTCTTTTTCTGGGAGGTACCAACGCTGAGTAAGCATAGTCACTTCCTCACAAGGGTTCCACATTTCCCCTGGTTATTTTAATAATAATAATAAATACGCCCTTATCCTTTTGAGATTCATATTGAAGCCTTTACAGGTTAAATGGTCTGATGTCTTGGATT